TTCACTCAGGCAAATGGCCAATTCACTTGATGGGAACTTTTCCTGAGTAAGCAGTTGGAGCAGACTCTCAGCTCCATCGTATGCCTCGGCTCGTTCTCAGGTATGACAACAGACATTGGTGCTTTGCACAGAAGGAAAGGAAGGCTATAATGCCCAGTACTGTGGGTCGATGCTCAGTTCTGCTCTTCTTGAGACTTAAAATCCACTGAGATGCTACAAAAGGCACAGTCAGTATAAAATGACCCTCTCCAGCCTCCAGTAGCCTGTTAAAAATCTGCCAATAAAAGGAAATACCTTTACAAAAAGAAAGAGTCGTCAGGATGAGAGGAAAGGGCCTCAGGTTGGGCCAGGGGAGGTTTAGACTAGATACTAGGAAAAATTTCTTCACTGAAAAGTGATCACACATGGGAACAGGCTGCCTAGGGAAGTGGGGGAATAACCATACTCAGAAGTGTTCAAAGACTAATGGATGTGGCACTTAAGGACATGGTTTACTAGTGGAATTGACAGTGCTGGGTCAGCAGTTGGTCTTTTCAAATCTTAATAATTCTGTGATTCAATATGTTGTCCATCCCCAGTTTGGACATAAACTCATGGTACCAGTAGTGTAGCCATCTCTCTAGTCAATGCAGACTGATTTAAGCTGCAGGAATTCATGGAGTGAGGAGAAAGAGGAGGGAAATCCTGCTTTTGATAAAGAGCACCAGTGATTTCTGCTCTACCACCTTGTTCAAGAGCTTTGTCAGAGAGACATAACTCAAAGTGGGAACTTCAGGATTCATCTCTGCATCCAGCTTTGGTTCAGCCCTGCCATCTGTCATAGAGGAATGGGGTTTCACCCCTTAATGGTGTAGGTGGATAAAAGCTCTGTCCCATTTCCTGATCTCTGTATATTACATGGCCCAGGCTGTGGTGGCAAGCAATATGTTGTGGACTTCAGGTCCAAGTCCTACAAAAGCTCCCACAGGTGCTTTTCTTAATTGACTCCAATTTTGTCTACACTGCCCCTCACAGCTTGATACATATCAGAGAAGCTGGGTTTCCTTGATCTAGCTACCATGGGAACCAGTGCAGCACTGATGCCGTAGCACACATTTCAGCACAATCCCCACACAGACCCTGGTAACACACTTGGGGCTGCTGAAGTGTGTGGAACACTGGGCTGTGTGTTCTCAGAGGTAATGTCCTCCCTAATAGCTACACTAATATTAGCACTGGTACCCATATCTTTCTTTTTCCTGCAGCCATTTCTTTCAGCAGTGCCTAATTGGAAACTTAAGCTGCAGCTCTCACTCATGTTCCTCATCCTCATCCTCGTGCACTTTTTAAACAAAATAGCTAATTCAAACAGAGGCTTAAAGGTCAAGACCTGGCTTTGCAAACCCTTTTGTACATGGCTTTTTCCCCTAGTATTTAGGGAAAAAAAAAAATAATTAAAAAAAATATTCTCATCAGGAAATGCTGGCAAAAAGGGTTTAATTACAGAAATCATTTTGCACCCTATGGAGAAAGCATGAAGAATGGCATATTTCCACATTTGAATTTCACATTCATCAAGAAAAGAGTGATTTCCCCATAAGAATGTTCTGGAGTAGTAAAAAAGAGCATTGAACCCTGGGGTGTGTATTTTATAGTCTCTGAAAGGCAAATGGTTTCACTTCCATTGATTAAAATATATGGGTTTTCCCTCTGGATTACTCTCTTGGATGTAGGAAAAAAAAATTAAAATCTTTAGTAGTGTCTGTCAAGCAGCGCAGCCCCTCTAGAAGATGTCTCCACTAAAGCAAAGGGGTCACCAAACCAACTGCTGCTGAACTTGGCCAGCAAGAAGCCTTTGACCACCAGATGTTGCTACTTTTTTTGCTTGATGAGTGGGGACTTTACAAAAGGTGATTTCATTTTGTTGGGGTGGATGTAAACGTGGAAACACAAGCTGGCATTAGGAGCACTAAGCGCTAATTGGAGTGGCAGCTCCAGGACTCGCTGTCCTTGCTCTCTGGCACACAAGGTCTAACAGGCTCGTGCACTAGTCTTGTCTTTTACCTTCTTGTCCCACAGATGTGGCTTCTTTACAAACTCTTCACAAACACTGCTTGGAGGAGATCTTGACTCAGTCACTGTTCTCAAGGAGCAAAGTGCAAAGAAGCTGGGGTGCAGGACACAAGCACCACATGGCAGGCTGATGAACACTGATGCTTGAATGTATATCTTCATAAAATGTGCTCCAAACTGGTGTGCAGCACACTTCTGTGACCACAGTAATTCACTGTGAATTGAAGCAGGAGCAGGATTTTCCTAAGCAAAGTAGCTTTTCCCCCATTAAATTACTGTTGTTCTTTTCTTTTTTTTTTCCAGGAACATTATTGTCTAGTTCTGTTAACAGAGAAAGGCCAATTACACGAACAGTGCTGACCTGTTAAACTTGAATTTACCAGCCAGAATTCAAATAAACAGCATTCTACTCCCCACTTGGGTTTACTTATTTTCTCTTAATAGTGTCACTTGAGTTTAAGTAATAAATAAATAAGTGTCCAGGGTGAATGGTTGGATCAACTGAGTGTTTCAAAACTGCAGGAAAGTAACGCAAACTGTAAGAGCACTAAGAACAAGAATAAGAAAAAGTTATATGTAATTGGAAGAGAAGATGTTCCATTTCCTTTCTAAAATCAAATGCAAACTGCTCATGTGACTGATTTAGTATTGAACAAGAGAGGAAAAATTGCTTCTTGGCATTTAAATGGAAATGTTTCTTGTTCTGAAATTTTGGAAGCTTGCATACTGTATGATTTTTGAAAGGCTTATACAATTACCATTGAATTTGGATGAGGTCTATTCCTAACAATATATATATTTCTCAGTTAAACTTTTTCCTTCCGGAGATCTAAATTACCTTTGTCTAGAGTTTAGGTTCCTGATGTGAAATATATTCCAGAGGTAATAAGGCCAATGCAAATATATTTCATTTTTAATATGTATGTCTGAGAAAACAGTGAACAGCAGCAGCTATTTTGCAAAGCAGACCTTAATGTCAAGGATTCTGCTGTTTTAGGATGATGTTCTGATTTGCTGTGTGCCTTTTTACTGTGATTTCTGGATTTGGAATAAAACACATATCTTATCTCTTGCTTTCCACAAAGGCTAGAAATTTTAGGACAGGAGAAAAAGGCAGACCACAGCACACTCATACCTGTCTGATTTAAAGGTATGCCATGAAGAGGATGATTCCCATGTAGCTCAAAGCACAGCTTGAAGTACTGCAGTCCATTATGTTCAGCACTCCTCTTACAAAGTGGTTTTAGGGCTCAATCCCGTGTCACTCCAAGATTTGTGATGTCAACACAAGCCCTGTAGAGACTGTTGCTGAAAAGTTTTGTAAGAGTAAATTCTGAGGAGGGGCTCGAAAGAGAAAAATGAGATTATTTGGTGAATGAGAAAATGATAGGCTGAGTGTAAATGGCAATGGGTGATATATACTGACAGGAATAAGTTATTGAGAACATGCCCAAGGTCATGCAGTGAAGCACTAGCAGGGCCTGACACTTAGCAACACCATAACCCTTTCTTTCTTCAGAGCATGTTGAATATCAGCATTAAAAATCACTAATTTCTTGTCACTACCATTAAAAAAAAACAAAACAGATAAGACCAAAACAATCTCCCTCACCCCCCCAAATAAATAATAGCAGAAATTGGTAGCACTGATTTTCTTCCTCAAGATCTAACCTTAAATCTTGCAGGCCTTCTTTCTGAGAATTTGATTTTAATTATCAAACAGCACAATTCTTTAAAAAAGTTAAAAAATAGTAGTAGTAACTCATAATGATAGAGATGTCTTCTCCTGACACCATCGTGCAAGATGCTCCCTGACCCCAAAAGCAAGACATTATGCAAGCTGCCTGCCTAGAGGCACAGGAGAAACAGAGGTTTCCTGCTCCTCACAATGTGTGTTGAAACTAGAGCCCACCCGACCCCAAGAGGAGAGGGAGGTTCACCACAGCCAGGACATGAATGCACCACCTGAGGCTCCACTTCTTCCCTCTATTCTGATCCCCATTCCATTCTCATGCTAAAGCCAATGCCATTCCAACCCAACCCCATGCCTATTCCATGCCCAAGACCAACCCATTCCAATATACCCAAGCACATCCTCGCCCATCCCTATGACCGTCTCATTCTCATGTCCACACTTGATCCATCTCATCACCATGCCCACATATCTGTCCATGTCCACGCCATGTCCATCCCCTCCCCAGAGCCCTGTCCATCCTCTCTCCATGCCATGCATGCCCAAATCCCCTTCATGCCCATGCCCCTCTCCCAGTGTCCATGCCATGCTCCTGTGCCCTCTCTGATCCGTGCCTATGCCACCACTGTGTCATACCCATACCTGTGCCCGTTCCCATCTCATGCCAGTGTTCTCCCCATGCCATGCCTGTGTCTGTGTACATCCCTGGTCCACATCTGTTCTATGATCCTGACCTTCCTATGTCTGTATTTTCCTCAGCCCCACGTTCATGCCGTGTCTGTGTCCTCCCCTGCCGCTGCCCCTGCCCCAGCCCATGCCCATGTCCATGTCCATGCCCCTGCCCCTGTCCATGCCCACGCCACCCCGGTGCCTGTTCGCACCCCGTGCCCCTCTGCAGGCATCCGCAGGCCGTGTCCGAGCTGCTCCCACGCCGTGGGGTGGGCAGCCTCCAGCCGCATGTGCGCCTGTCATTCCAGCCGGGAGCGCCGGCTCCTGCCTCCCATTCATGTAACCTGTGTGTGTCTCTCTTTCTCTCTGTGTGTAACAGCGAGAGGGAGAGAGCGAGCGAGGCACGGAGAGAGGGAGGAGGAGGGGGGAAGCTTTAAATAAAGCCTTTGGATTGCAGCTGCTTATTTTGGGCAGTCCTACCAGGACGATTCCTGTCAGGAAAGAAGCTGGACCAGTCGTTGTTCTTTTTTTTTTTTTTTTTTTTTTTTTTTTTTTTTTTTTTTTTTTTTTTGGGGGTTTTTTTTTTTTTTAATTTATTTTGATTTTGATTTTTGGGGGTGGCAGCGGTGTATCTCTGAGCTGCCTGCGGAGATGAGCTCCGGTGCCTGCCTGTAGTTTCCACTTTGGGATCGCTGGACACAGAAGTGGCATTTCGGTGGGGGAAAGCTGCAGACATGGTAAGCTTCGCTTTTTCCTCTGAAAAGTGTATTTATACCATAGACTCCCTTGAATTTTCCCTTCCCCCTTCCCTCTTCCCACCAAACAGCCAGGCACACAGGCTGGGGCTGGGGAGAAGCTCCCTGAATCGCTGGCTTTCCCTCCCCAGCATCCATCCTTCCCTCATGCCCAGTTCCCTGCCCTCCCCTCGCACAGTTTGCAGCAATTCGGAGGGAGGCACAGATGCTGCGGGAAGCTCCGGGCTGGGGCGGGGGGGATCAGACACCCCCAGACTGCCAAAGCCTTGCTTCAGGGTATGTTTGGAGTGGATTCTCCCATCCAACCTTCCTCCTCCCCGACCCTTCCCTCTGCACCCCGAGCGGTGCGGCGGTGCTGGGGGAAGGCAGCAGTGCAGATTGGGAGGCACTGGAGCAGGGATGCAGCTTTAAGATCAATCGGTGTTATTTATGTAATAGTAAAAGCAGGGAGGAGAGGAGGCAGGAAAAAAAAAAAAATAAGAGTAAGGAAGAAGTGCCTTGGTATTTCTCAGCTCTTTTGGCTCTGTCTGAACCCCCCATACTCATGTCCTGCTGCAGGGTGGTGCGTGGTGGGAGTGTGTGTGTGTGTGTGTGTGTATGTTTACATTTGGAGCCGTGATAGAATCAGGGGTGAGGATGGGGTCTCCCATTCCCATTTTCCAAGGAAAGGTGGGTTTTCCTCCAACAAAAAGAAGGAAAAAAAAAAAAAAAAAAAAAAAAAAAAAAAAAAAAAAAAAAAAAAAAAAAAAAGAAAGAAATGCGCTTGACTGCAAGTTGAGTGACAAGTCTGTTTCTTAGGCATTAAATGTTAAAGCCCTGCTTCTAGCCATGCCCTGCCAGGATTAAAAGATCGCCCAAATAGTGTGGTGTTGGAGAAAAGATGCTGGAGTGCCTGGAAGAAATGCAGTGGTTCAGACTCCTGCTCGTATTCTCAGCAATCTGTATTCTCAAACACAAATTTGGGCTGTTGAACATGAAACCAGACTGCTACCAAAGGGCATTTATTTCCTAGGATTTGTTTTGATTGAAAATATAGTGTAAAATATCTGAGATATTTTACTTCAAAACAAGTAGTAGTTAAGAAATTTCTAATTCTATTAAAAATAATAATTGCCCCCCCCCAAACTCTAAAAGTACTCACCAGGCAGTATTATTTACTTTCTTATCATGACCACACTTAGAAATTCACGGTGGTTATAACTATGTAAGTGCATGATTTGGAAAAAAAAATAAAAATAAAAGCAACCCCCCCCCAAAACCCAACCAACAAACATATTCATGCCATTGCCTTGTTTTATGGGATACACAGTCCAAAATACATTTTTCATATGGCCAAAACAGAAATTACTAAATGCTCATTGAATAGATAGGCAAGAATTTTCTGCATCTTGAATGCATTTCCTCATGTTCTTTCCTGGAAAGTTCAATTTCTTGTGATTTAAAAATGATAAATAAACACGGCAAAACACCAAACTCCTGAATCAAAGTAAAAATTAGTCCTTCTGCCTCAAGTCTATCTTCCTCCTTAACTTTTTGCAGTGAAGCCTCACCTTGAATTTACAGCTGCATTTTTTTTTTAATTTATTTTTTTATTTTTTATTTTTTCCCCGAGAAAAGTTCCAGTGAAGGGAGGGCCATAAAATGAGAAAATGAGAGCAAATCTTTGAAGTTGGGAGTTGTCTGTGTGCTTTTTAGAGGTAAACTTCTGCTGCAGCCTGGCAAGTTGTTAGTGTGCTGCTCCCTGCTCTGGAGCGCCGGAGTCGGGCAGGGGAACTTGGCAGCTCCCAGCCTATCCAAATCCCATTTCTTTCGACTTCGCTGACCCTAATAAAATTGCCTACTAGTAGGGTAGCCCCTCCCCTCCTAAAGAAAGTGCTCTGCTCCCAGCATGTGCACCATATGTGCCTGCAACAGCCAAGGCTTAGCATGTATTGACCTATAGCATGGCAGCAGCCCGCGAATGCCACCCGCACTGTGGCTGTGGCAGGAGCCGAGGATCGGCCACCGGGAACCCCAGCCTCTCTCTCCCCTGCTAGCTGGGGGAGGCTGGGGCTGAGCCAGGGATTTGTATTTAATTTATTTCATTGGCCTCTTCAGAGCCAGGCGCCTCCCACTTAGTGCCTCTGCCTGTAGCACTTTTATAGGCTTGGGTGGAAAAAACAAGGAGTGTGTGTGTGTATGTATATATCTATATATATATATCTATATATATGTTTAGTGCGGTGTGGGGGGAGCAGGAAGAGAGGAAGGCGAGTCTCCTGCGCTGTTTTGCAGCGAGGGAAGACTTCAGAGCAGCTCTGCCTGTGTTACAAGGCTGTAGGAATCTGCTCGTTTGTGGCCATTGCGAGCTGCCCTTCCTTGTAAAATTCCCAGCGCCCAGACTCTGCCACGCCGCTGGATCACTGCTTGCTGGAGTGGGCTGCTTTGCGGCCAGGAGAAGTCTTTGATCCCCTGAGAATGCAATCCCCGAGAGTGCGTGGCCCAGGAAAATGAGGCTCTGTGCTAGTTTGCTTTGGGTCTGGGGGCAGGGAGGGGACCGTGAGGTCAGGGTGTGTGGCCGGGCACTTCCCAGGTGTTGCTCTTCCCTTGAGAGCAGGAGCACTGCTCTGCACCCACCGTCCAGGGAAGGGGGTCTGCACACACACATGGGTCAGGGCAGGAGGGGAACTGCCTTTGCAGACAACCTGTTTCACTTCTTTTCCCCTTTCCCCCCCTCAAAAAAGAATCACCAAGACTGGGAATTACTGTCACTGCACTGGAGATGCACCGTACCTTTCCAGGGACTCTGCCCCTGTGCCTCACCCTCCTTTCCCATCCATACTCCCTCCTTTACAAGAGGAGAATTTTGTTATTTGTGTGTGTGACCTGGAGAAGAAATCCCACGTCTTGGTGAAGAAAGAGGGTGATTAATATGGAAAAAGATTCTCGGGCTGTTCTTTGGCAAGGAAAGGGGTAAAAGGCAAAAGGAGATGCAGAAGTTAACTTCGTAGTTTCCTTTTCTTATTAGCAAGGGGTCCTGGTTTAGAAAAGCTTCCCTTGGAGAATTTACCTTCTCTAATTTTCAAGTATAGGGAAAAATTATGGAGAGATGAAGATAAAGCTGCTCATCTGGTTTTGGTTGGTGGGGGGGAGATAGTCTCCCCCACCCCCAATTTAATTTACTCCATGGGTGGATGGAAAAAGAAAGACATCTCTCTAATTTCAGTGGGTCTGGGAAAAGAGTAGGATTTGGACTGAGAAGAAGCCGCAATTTTAAGTCCATGTAGCTTAATTATTTTCCTTGACTCATTTAAAATAGATGCTTTCCTTTTGTTTTGGTGAGCAGATAGTGTGCTGGCAAGGGAAAATGTTATTTTTGTTTTACAGAGTGAATTCTTTATTTTATTTTATTTTATTGGTTTCCTGGAGTGCATAATAACGAAATGTTATTTCATTCTGTCTACAACATGTACACTATTCCAATTAAGAGCCTACTCTGATTATTTTTAACCTGGTAGTTTGCCATTTCTCTGCTCAGGAGAATAAAACATTGAGTTCTTACACTTTAAAATAGCTGAGATGCTTAAGCAAAACTACCTTTTCCCTGGGAAAGTCATTTCCAGTTCTGTTGAGTTCCCGCTTCAATGGTTCATTTTCTGACAGAATCATGTCTTTGCAAGAAGCAGAGCTATGATCTTATGTAACTTGATGTTTCCAGATCAAAAGTTACAAATATTGCAGTAATACCACGAAGGGAGAGATTTGACAGGAGGAATGTTGTGTGGCATATTTATTATTAGGATTTCAAATCAAGGTGGTTTTAAAAATTTATGGAGGGGAAAAGCAGAATTAAAAAAAGATGGATAAACAAAAACTTGCTAGTTTGGCATCTTTAACATCACTTTTCCCTTTTATGTTACCTCTGTAGGCAGTTGAGATTTTATTTTTTTATTTCTTTATAGCAAACTCTTCAGTGTTTAAGAAATGTGTAGTTGTAATTTCAAGAGATGAAGTAGCTTGAAACTCGCTCTCTCTCAGATTTGATTCAGAGAAATGAAACTCTGTAAATCAATGTCAATTCAGATTTAGAGACTGGCTGTTACCTGCCCTGTTACAAGGTCTATCAGCATAGCTTATTGTAACTAAAAGCTAAAATACTCAGTTTCTGCTTTGAACTGACAAATTGGCATTGCTGGGTACTTTGACAGAGTAACTTGCCAGGGAATTGGGTATTCATGGATCCTTGACCGATATGTTTCAGAGGAAAAAGTCCTATAATCTAACATTTTTTTTTTTTAAAGCATATCTGTGTATTCCCTCTTTGCTCTAGATTAAAAGGAAAAAGAATCATGGGGAAATTTAAATCTTAATTTTGTCAGCATAACATGAGGAGTGGTGCTGTAACATGGCTGTAGGACTCGTAGTAGTCAGGAATAAATGTACAATTCTCATTCTTCTGTGCTGTTTCACCCTTGCTTCACTTGATAGATAAATAATTTTGTCAGAAATATATATATATATATATATATATATTTTGCCAGCTGTTGTACTCCCCCTGGAGCATCTGTAGAGGCAGAGTTGAAATGTGAGTAGGAGGGCATGTTTCCTTGTCTGTGCGCAGTGACAAACACTTCTTATAGAAAGTTCAAATTTTGGAAAGTTTGAGCCTTTCTGACAAAAATCCTTTTGCCTTTATACCAAATTGCTTGGAATGAAGCTGTTTGTGCTGTAGGGGGATTCAAACTTCATCGAATGTTGTCCTGCTGGGTATCAGCAGAGGTGATCTTTTGAATGCGAAGATGTCCATGAAAGCACAGATTTCTATGTTTTTCCAGTGTTTTGGCAGCAAGAAGAAGGAAAGTGCATTGTGAAATGAATTAGGGCTGACAGATAAGTTTCCTTTTCCAAGTAAGAGCTGCTTTCTAGGATGTGACACGATCCTTGTTCTTTTTTTAAGTGGGGGGAAGCAGGAAGAAGGAGAGAGGAATTGCTGATGGTCGATT